TGTGTGTGTGTGTAATCTTATATGCATGTATGTGTGTGTGTGTGTGTGTGTGTGTGTGTGTGTGTATCTGTGCGTGTGAGTGTGAGTCTTTCTTTGCATGCATGTATGTGTGTGTGTGTATGTGTGTGTGTAATCGTGCATACACGTACGTGTGTATCTATGTGTGTTTTTTTTTAATCTGTGTGTACCTGAGTGTGTCTGTGTGTGTGTGCGTGTGTATCTGTGTGTATCTTTCTGTGTATGTGTATGCGTGTATGTGTGTGTGCTTGGTTGTGCGTACGTAGGTGTGCGTGAATGTATGAGTTTATCTTGTATCTGTGTGTATCTTTCTGTGTGTGTGTGTAAATGTGAGGGTGTGAAATCGAACACGACTAAAACGGGTCCCCTGCTCGGGCGAACTATCACCAACTCTCTGCTATCACTTGAAGACCCCTGCACAAACCGTAGGCTGAGGTACGTCCCGTCTCATTACCTTTTTCTTTCTCTGCTCTGTCGACAAGGCACTAAACATGTGTGCGTGTATTACTACATCCTCGTGTATGGTCGCTTTTGAGCACACGGTGACTATCCCCAAAAATTGTTTTGAGAAAATCGAAGGTAAAGTTTTTGCCCCTTGTTCCGTTTCTTTAAAAGACAAGGAGAGTTTTCTCTATAGCCAAATAAATATACACACCAATGAAACCAAACTTCTCCTATATGTAGAACAATGTCCACTTTAGGTGTAGGTCAAGATTTCTGGACAACCCTGAAACCTGGGTAAGCCTTCTTGTCTTTAAAAACGTTCGTATATTGTCGATATCATATTGATACTACCTGGAAAAGACCCCCCCCCAAAAAAAAAAAAAAAGCACGGTGCACGGCTACTTGGAAAACCGTTGATACTCTACTACTGATGACAAAACATACATTAATGCTGATTTATGACCAAACTATAAACATTAACCGGTCCTACTTAAAAGTAGTTTGTACGGTCTGTATATTCTTAATGAGGAATGATGTATACATTTACTAGACAGTTAGAATGAAAACAAAAAGACAAAAATAAGGGGTCTCTTTATTTTTCACTTTTAAAAGATACGCCTATGGAAGAAATACGCCTACGACCTGTATTTATGCTCACCAATATGGGATTTCCTATTTTAGCTTCATTATGGAACAACAATACTTGATTTCACGATCCTAAAGGCATTTTTCTATTCAGAGCTGCCCTTGGGGAGCCGTAAAGTCACCATGAAAATGTCTCTGACAAGCTTCACGTCAACCCTTTATATGGAATAATCTAGCTTCCTTAGGACCCGGTGGAAGAGCACCAATTGCAAAGGGAAAAACAAACCCAAACAAACGTTATATTGATATGAGGCTTCACAAATCAGAAATGTTGAAAGCAAGAGATACGCCCAAAGGATGCGTATATCCACAAGTGGAAAGGAAGCTTATATTATGTTTATGCTCAAAATATAGCAAACTCTTCTCTCTTATCCAGAACAGGTATCACTGTTCATTGTAGATGCCAGAAGTAACCTCAATTGCTTTTTTTCTATTTTTCTTTAATAAATGCTTTTTTGCATATTAATCATTTCTCATCGTTAGACTCTGACATACAAAGTATTATTATTATTATTATTATTATTATTATTATTATTATTATTATTATTATTATTATTATTATTATTATTATTATTATTATTATTATC